ACAAATCTTTGCACAATTAGATCAAACATGAAACAATTAAGTTGATATCTAACCATTCTCTAAGGATTTGTTGACTTTCAGCTATGGAGGCCACCTTACAGCGTGCGTTCTGAGCGCTCATTATTTAATGGTTTCCGATGGCTTCATGCCAATCTTTTTGGTTATAAATTGCTTAAAATGCGATTTAAAGAGGCAAGCAGTATATCATTTGAATTCGCCGATACCAATGTTATAGGAACAGAAGCTTACGCATAAATGCCTATCACCCGGTAAATCAGTGACTAGTGCATTAAAAGACAAATCACTGCCTCTTTTCGCAGACGTTTTATTTATGTATGGAACAAAACTCAATTTGCGCACATATTACTTCAATCAATCAGACTTTTTTTAATAAATAAAGTCCTTCAGCGAATGCACTGTACCTGATTCCTTTAAAAGTTACACTTATCCGATTCGTTTATTTTGCTGAGGTAGTTATGTTTATTTTGTTGTTCCGCTGTCTGGCATATAGAGGGATCTCATATTTTCTTGCAAACCGTTGCTTCACACGCAAACGCATCTGATAGTGTAAACAAACTACAGCCTCCTGATTGCAATGCTGATTTCCTGAAATAAAATGCATATACAAGATCTAACTCGTGGCGCAGTGGTTAGAGGCGTGGATTTTTAACTAAAAGGTCGCAAGATGGAGCATTGGGGGGTCGGCACTCCGGGGTTGAGTATGACAGGCTGATGACGACTACTAAGCCAGGACTTACCATTTCAGACTCCCTTGTATTTGTCGGTACTGCCAATTTGCCTTTACCATGCGCCTCTCATCGGTTACTGGTTGGGCTCGAGAGAGAGAGAGCCTCTAAGGCAAAACGGAACGAGTGAGATCTGTATGATTTATCGCCGATCGCCCCCTAGCATCCAGATCTAAAGGTTACGCATCTGATCATACAAGTCCAATCACCCAATCGCCCGCATATTTCGTATCGCAACAGAATAATTTTTCCAAAAAATCCTTCATGCAAATTTTAACTTGCTGCGCCCTACATCAGCACAGCCAAGACTACATATATACCCGTACCACACACCTCAACCGTTAGTTTGGCGATTCATTGATGCCTGCATTCATCCTTTTATCATTTACTGCTCTCTTGCCATTTTTCCTGCCTTGCTTAAGAGGATCTTTTAATTTTGAAACGATTTTACCGCATGCTCTTATCTTTCTTACCTTTGTTAAGTTCACACTATCTTACAACGGCACTTCAATGCGGTCAAGCAATTTGCTGATCGAATTCTAGATGACGTTGATCATCCGTTACATTCGGATCTTACGTCTTCGAAGTCTACACGCCCGGTGCGCCGCAGCTCCGACGTATATCCTGTCGCTCATCGGCTTATCGAGCTTCTGTATTGCAATTCCTAGCGCGCAATTTTACGTGCGAAAAGACCGAAATACAGAAGCCAAAAATTGAACGTTCATAATAATAATCGTTACTTTGTGTTACCCTTGACACTTGAATAATATCTTAACCTTATTTACTGCCTACAGTGAGCGGAGACAATATTTTGCTGAAAATATTGAACTTACGATTTAAGCTATAGCGAATTCCTCTCTCTCTCTCGTACTCGGTATCCCCTTCTTCACTAATATGCCAATGTTGTTACACAGGGGGGTGTGAAAGAAAATTGCCTAAATTTCAGTATGAGGTCATTTGACTGCAGAGTCATCACGTATTATGCAAATCACGCAGAGAATGCTCTCCTTCATATGAAACAACGGACTTTGTGCAGGGCCTTA